TAATTGAAGAGCGGTAGATATTCGAACTGGCTGGCCTCGAAGCGGAGCGGTGAGATGTCGGAGAACGCCAAATAAATGTGATAGAAATCGTCGGTAAACCCTGACAAAGCCAAGAGATTCGCGGAGCTTCTGATGTGAAAATGGCGTCGGGAACTTCTTCATTCGATGAATTTAGAGCGTCCTGGTAATGCTACAAGAGTAAATAAAAGGCGACAAAAAGGACGTCATTTATGTTGCTTTCCGTTTATTTTTGTAAGTTTCCATGGTCTCAATTTTAGATGGAAAACGTCGCATGCTGTGGGAGTCGGTTAGATGAACAAGCAACTCTAGCTGCCACACCCCGAACTCGACATTTTGTTCATGAAAAAGCCACTGTCTTCGAGCTGTTGAAACAGGGTTTAGAGACGATTTAGATGCTGCTCGGCATCCGTGCTTGAAACCAGTACGTCCTCGATGCGAGCATAACGAAATGTCAACTCACAAGTGACGGAGTCAACGAAGCGTTGAAACGTTTGAGCGGCGTTGGGTAGCCCGAAGGCCCAAGGGTCATTCAGGAGTATTCGAAAAAGTTCGGATGGTCCAACGGGATCTGATGTTATGCTTTTATTAAGTGAACCTTGGTGAGGATTTTGACTCTTTTTATTGATGTGGGGTGTCGGCTCGGCACGGTAACTCTTGAGTGCACGATAGTCATCGCATGGCCTCCAGTCAACCGGGGGATATTTTCGCACCATGTAAAAAAACGATACCCATGAAGTCTATGATGGCATGACGATCCCGTGGTCGAGCATGTGTTCGAACTCAGCTTTTACAACCTTTAGGAGATCTAGGAGACGTCGTCGGGGACGAGTTGGAGAACCGGATGTTATGTACATGGTTCGCCACCTCGTGCTTGACTTGTTGAGGAAGTTGGCAGGCCGTGGAAGAGATGCGACACGGCGCGGAAGTTCTTAAGAAGGAGACGTGGGCTGTGGAGGGAAGACGGGAAACGATGCTGATTATGTTGTAGCTTGACTTGTAAGATGAACCTCGACCAAGGGTTTCCGCGGCATATCCACAGGAATATTGAAGTACCGAAGGTGCCCTGCCCCTAAAGCCGGAATCCCACGGCTCATACCATCATACTAAAGACAGTCTGCAAACACGAGTCACGGCAATATCCGTGGTTCGAATGCTGCGCGCCAAGTTTTTTTTTTTTTTTTTAACTCATTGCCATGCGGTATTTGAAGCACAGATTTCGCGGTGACTCGCGCTCGAATCTGTATGTAGACTGACTTTTGTATAGTCTGTAAGCAGTGTGACCCAAAAATACCAGAATGAAAGTTGGTCGGAAGACGATTCACTCTAAATCTGACTACTTATGTTGTTACTCATGTGGAGGTCGTCACTCATCAACATGAGTAACATTTCCAAAATTTAATTTTGTTTTCTGTTTCCTCTCAAAAGCACTGCCATTAATAGCATCATCATGGGTAACACACCACAAAAAGGCAAGAAACTGTGATTTCATGAGTAACTCGTTACCTATAAATTGTCTCATGGTTTCAGATCGTTACACATGCCGGCGGTGGGGAGTTTCACAAAACCGTCAAATTCGAATCTTATGTTATGCCATCTACCAACCTTAGATTAAGACCGCGTGGGAGAAGAATGACCGACGCTGATGAAAACTGAAAAGCTCCGGAGCTAAGATTTTTTCACTGCTCAGAAGTTTCACCGGGGAGCTGAAAACTTCGCAAAGAGTGAGTAGAAAAGCAGCGTTATTTCTGTAGACACATTTAACGTTCTTAATTTCAGAAGGTTTGAGAAGAGCGAGTGTGTGAGCCCAACCAGGTCTCACGAGTACCGACCTCGCCAGTACCATCCGGGGGTCCTGCGTATATGGGAAAACTTCGTGCGGGGCATTCCTCACTGGTGAGAACGCATTTGAAGTGGCACCAACTGCCCGGCTGCAGGTGGTGCTTGATCTGCGGGCACCCTAGAGCACAGAGCAGCACCCGAGGTGAGTGAGATTGAGAAAATGGGTGCGCTCGATCGCTTCTCAGTTTTAAACTGCCGCTAACGCCGAAGGCTCTATGCCCCTCTTTTCCTCTAGTGAATTTAACTGCAGTAACACCAGTAACTTGCGAGTCCGTGCTTGACGAGGAATAAGCTGTTAATTTTCTATTTTCAAAAGTCGCGTTTGGCGTTCTTTTTTTTTTTTTACGTGACGCGAGCTTTTACAGCTTTCAGGCAATTAACCAAATCGTGTTTCATTATATAACTGTAGTCATTTTAGGTATCGTTCTAAAATTGTTTAGGTGTACCCGGCTATTTGCTAGAAATTAGTTTAAAATATGAGGTGATGCTGGGAGAATTAGCGAGGGTTCCTTTTTCCCAGTCTTGGTGAAAATAAATTCTATGAAGTTCAATATTTTCTTTCTGTATTTTCCTGATTTGGTTCTAGCTCTTCCAGAGTTGATAAAGAGAAGAGAAAAAAATGTTGTATGTGCCTTAGCAGCAAATCTGCATGACACTTTATATGAGATTTACTAATGCGTGATATGTTTTATGTTCATTTCTTCAGGTGTAGTACCCTGTAACGTCTCTTTAACTGCATACACAATCTCGATTGCAAGCCCCCATGTAGACAGCTCGGCGTTCCCAATGTATCTTGCTGCTCTTTTACTGAGATGCGGGAACACGCCCAGCCGAGACGTTAAAAGAAAGCCGCGGGACAAGTCCACCTCACGTGAAACATATTTATTCGCCTTTTAGTGGACAGTTTGGCCTGTGCCTGTGCTCATCGTTTGCTCCCTCTCTGAGCAAGCGCAAAGCACATACGCTGCCAGAGCGCCCTCTAAAGCGCCGAGAACTACGCCTCGTGAGGGTAGGGCTCCAAGGTCACGGACATAACATAGCACACATGAAACTTACCCATGATACTTGTTACCAATAAAACTGGTTACCTATGAGACTGGTTAACCATGGTATCATGCGGCACATAAAAAGAAGAGCACGTTTGTTACTTCTCGTACGATTAGCGCTCATGGGTAAGCGGAGTTACACATGAATCAAGCGGCACAAAAGGTACACTTTTGTGCCGCATGACATGAGCAACTGGACAAAGAGTGTTGTTGAGTGTGAGCGCCAGTTCTCTATCCGACACAAAGCGAATTTGTTAGCCGCTTGCAATGTAACGGTGGAGCGCGGTGGCCAATGACTTGGGAAAGGTGGCGCCGGACTCGTACGTTTACTTCGGCGCCGGTATTCACAAGAAGACAAAAACCAGAGTTAGTTTTTGTCCAATGAATAAAAGGTTGATCTTGACAGCCACCTACAACACTCGCCCTCTCGAGTGGTGAGCTGACGCGTACGTTCCCTAATGGTGTGCAGGGTGGGATGCACTTCTTGGCGTGGTCGCCGAAGGATCAGTTGTACCAGCATGTCCGAGGGGTAGGAAGGGGGAGCAACGGGGACGATGCTTAGAGGCAGAGACAGCTCTGCCACATGCTTATAGTCGTATAGGTTGAGAGAATGGTGGGCTGTGCAGCGAGTCGCGCAGAATACCTCTGAGGCTCATTCTGCAACCCATGCGCGTCAGGAGTGTCGTCGCGGCGGCTGTAGTGGCAGAGCGTGATGGATTACCGTAATCATGAACTTTGGCTGTGGTTGTGACTGCGACTTCTAATACGGAGTCGGCGAGTAGAGCAAGGGCATCCAGGTTGAGAGCGGAGGGGGTTACAAGGACCACGCGAACGCCTGTGGGAAGTCGTTGCATCTCGCGCAGGAGCGACAAAAAGATACAACCCTGTCCCCCAGTAGTTGCGGGGGGCGTCGCAGCGATTGTGGTGGCTTGCGAATCGCGATCACCCCGCAGCTCCTTGGTGTTGAGAAACTGCTGGAGTCGGTGCTGCTTGAATGACGTCGTGAGGCGGATGAGCTCGGTCCAGAGCGTCGTCTCATATGTGCAATCTTCAGGAGATGTGAGGACAGTCTCGTATTTCCGGGGCGATCTCAGGTGGTGTAGTGCCGTGATTACGTGGGTGAAATATTTGGTTTTGGTTAGGATGTCCCCCAAGATTTTCCGAAGCGACTCTCCACTTGTAAAAAACAGAATTCCGTGTGCAATTCATAAGAGAAGTAGACGGAGATGCACGGTGACGAGAGCATCAAAGTTATACACTTGGACGAGGCGGCCACCAGGGGCTCTAGACTCGTCAACGATAAAGTTGGAGCCGAAAGTTCTTGGAGCGTTTCGATTGTACTTCGCCGACAAAAGTGCGGCGTCACCGTCGCCAGAGTCCAATCAACGCGCTTCGTAAACTTTGGCCCCAAACATGGTGTTTAAAGAGTTTAGGGCCCCAGGGGGCTAAGGCTGTCGGAAACAAAATGTTAAAGAAGAAAGGTAGGCAGTATAAGGGGTATTCACAGGACGCCATTTTGTTGGACATCGTTCGCAGCGCATGCTCAGAACGATGCTCGAGTACAGTTTTTTCAGGCATTTCAGGAGAAGCGAACACGGCTCGTTCACAGCTCTGATCGATGCTCAAGGTTCGCGAACGCAAGGGTACCCATAGCTTTGACTTAACTACCTGCGAGGAATGCACGAGGATGCACGTTCAGCGTCCACACAACCAGAATCGCAGTTCTCGGAAGCCGATATATAAAAGCTAGTTCTGAGCATGCGCTGCGGAACAAGGTCCAACAATATGGCGTCCCGTGAATACCCCCTATAGTTCGAACCCCCGAATAACCAACTTATTTAATGCGGAGACGTCCACATACCCGTAATAAATGATGTTTACATGGTTACACTGCAAAATATATTCAGCTGGGCTGCTTATCACATCTAAATTAGATTTGATAGAATGATCTAACCCATGGAGCGTGAAGAAATTCAAGGTGTCATCTTTCCTGGCAAAACGCGGCACTCAACAGCCTGTTCCCAGCGTCAACCAGAATCGAGCGGGAGTGGCCCAGTGTTGAGTCCGAGGCTCTAGCTTGGAGCGCTCGCTCACCCATATAGCGACTCGCCAGCGTGGCAACCAGATTTCTCCAGAGCTGCAGGTCCTCCGGGAGTTCAAAGTTCAGGGGCCTCGGAAATGGATTGCCCATCAGCTCGAAACCCGGTTTCAGACCCAGGCTCAGAAGGCGGTCGAGCAGCACGTCCAGGTGGCTGAAGTTGTAGGCCACAGGAGCGCTGCTGTCTGTGGGCATGCTGGAAAGCAGTCCCGGACAACACGAACCGCTTTTTTTTTCTTCTTTCCTTCGGGTCTACGCTTTTGTTTCATCTATGTACCATAAATACGTTTACTCTAAAAGTACGTTTGCACTTGCGGAAAATTCGCTGGCGCCGAAGTGAATTCGGTAGCGGCAAAAAACCTGTAAATACCTCCGGATTTTTCGCCACTGCCGAATTCGCTTCAGCGGCAGCGACTTTTCCGCAAGTGCAAACGTACCTAAAGGCTGGTTCATACTTGCGTTTGACTGCGACCGACTGCGCTACGGCTCCTCGCGTCCCGCTGCGACGCGCTGCGCGGAGTTGCAACGAGGTGGCGTCGGTGTGCAAGGCAGCACTTGGACGCTTCCGATCCCGTACTAGACTGAAAGGTTCGCAGTATTTTCGAGATCAAACCTACACACAAACTACCTACGAGAAATGATCGCATATAACATTTTCAGCATCATTTCAAGCCCACAGTGAAAGAACGATGCGTAACAAATGAGGAAATAATGCGCACACGAAAATATTTTTTTTTGCGGGCTGTCTTTTAGATAGCACCAGCGTGTTCTCTCGTAGAAGTTAGAAGAGGTCGAAGTGCAGTCTATCACAACCAAACTGACCATGTGAACCAGCCTTGCGTTGACTTGGACCAAGTGCGAGGGTTGCTATGGCAACAGCTGCGTGGGCTCCAACAAAAACGGTTTTTACTTTTACCCCGTTTCGTTGGAGCCGACACTGCTGTTGCCATAGCAACCCTCGCACTATAGGTCCAAGTCCTACACCGTGGTCCAAGTCAACGCAAGTGTGTGAATCACACCTTAACCTTCTCTGTGCTCCCCAGCTTGAGGAGGGGAAGCTGAGAAGGATCGGGGAACGTACGAGCGGCTTGGGGGCTTCTCGCACGGTCCCCCAACTCTTTTCAGCTTCCTCTTCTCAACCCTTCTCAGAGACCAAGCTCCAACCTAAACTTAAAACAAAACAATCAATTACCAACAACAAAAGACAAGAAACAAGTTCCAACCCAAGACTTGCGTGCGTAAAACATTGAATCGACTTTAATTAACAAAAAAAAAAACTATATTATTTTACTGTCACCTTAATAAGATAGTCACAAGTGCTTCTGAAAATTACATTTACCCGGGAGCACATTACCTGTTGCATTGATATCCATGCTGAGCGTCCCGTGCTCGTGTCCCTACCCCCAAATACATCGTAGCAGCAGTGCGTGTGTCGAATCAAAACGGGAACGAACCGATATATTTTCCGCCATTAGACACTAAAAAGGTGATTGGTAATCGCAGCACCCATAGCCTGGACGTCACGCCATATATTACCAGTAATTCCAGTGTTAGTTAGCCTTCGTGAGTACCTATAAGTGTAACTGTGTATGCGTGGGCGCGTATGGCTATATCTCATTACGCTTCATTACGCTGCACCTCAAAGAGCTGCCACCAATTACCTTACAAATAATTCGTTTCAGAGTTTTGATTTTGTCTAACTGTTTTCAATGTGGTGGTTGCAGACTTTGGCACATTTAAAATTTAAAGAAAAATCACAACTGTGTCGATCCACTTTCTGTAATGCATTCAACCAATGTTTAGAGCCCCAAGCCTCATTTACAATCAGTGTTGTCGGGTATGAAACAAACGTCACTCTTGACGCTCGAAGGTCAATTTATCAAACACTTGCAAATTATATATTTGCAAAGTTTATAGAAAGGAGGGAATGTAGTTTTGAAAACGTAAAAGCTCTTCTGGGCCATATTTACAACGCAGACCATGCAGAGAGCGTGGTCCCGGAAAGTACTTTGCTTACATAAAGACTGTTCCCCGGCAAGTGCGCTTTGGTGGAATCACACGCACGCGCCGTTCCTCATGAAGCCGCACCAAGCAAGAATGCTTTGTTCCTCTCAAATATATGGCTTCCATTGGCGTCATATCAGCTGCAGTTGTGGTGCATGGCGTTGCTGCTGAGCGCGTACCTTCTGCAGCATGCATTTCCCACCGCCAAATTTGTTTTTCTCATCAAGAAAAGCGGCAATGACCACCAGCATGATGGGATGACGTCACGTACAAGCCACTTACAGAAACAGCTTAGTTTCCTGTTCAAATGCAGAACTCGCAACACTAGCCAAGCAGACGAAATTAACTATCAAAATTCTGAAATTGTCCAGGACCAGTAGGGATCAGTCACGCGATAGTACGGTAGGCTCACAAAAGGTTATGGAACACGACTCATCAAGCACAGAGCTGTAAAGCGAAGGCCCAGATACACGTGCACGTAAAACCGAATATAGCATGAGCATCCCAGCAGTGTTTCAGAAAGTTTCTTGCTCGTGCTGATGCCCAACTGTGATTTTCATTAAGAATATTGTTGCATCTCCATGTCATTTTTGTAGTAAGGCATTGTATATTGAACTCTTTCGAGGAATTATATATATTGTCTATTTGCCTTCAGAGCTATCATGTGAGCACATTATCTGTTTTCACGTACGCCGTGAACCTGTGTTTCACAGTGCCGAACAGTGAACAAAAATGAAACGTGTTTATGCAAGCCGGCTCAACAGCTTGCACATTTTCGAGTAGCGTCCTTCCCTGTCGGACTCAAGATGTGATTTGAACTTCGCACATTCAAATTTTGATAACGATAAAACTGTATTCAATTACTGGCAGTAAATTAGACAACTTCAAAGATACATCGTATGTGAATGCACTCCCCCATTACTGAAATATTATCCGCAATTTATTCCGGTGTTTTAACCATGTGTAGGGCCGTGTACGGGTTCTGATTTGGTAGCTAATTTAAACAAAGGTGCTTCTCTGGCACATAAGGGACTTTTTAAATACAAAAGCTTGTCGTTGCTTATTTTATGTGATGAATCGCAATCTGATGTCTTTGGGCTGAACGAGAACAAAATACGCAGGCACGCGTGGTGGAACTCTGACGACGTCTTTGTCACACGCTTAAACCGAAAGGAAGCCACTATACAGTTTCTACCTTGGGTGGAGTACCGAATACTACTTTGTACTATTTTGAAAAGCGTCAATTAGCAAGAGTGTAACCTATTTACAAAGTGAATTAGTCGGTATCTTGTCTAGGACAGAGCTCTACCTCAGCTAAACTGGGTCAGTATAGCCGTGTAAGAGAAAATGTTCACTTGGTTACGCGCTATTTCAGGCCAGGCTCAACCTGAGTACGAAGGTTCGTGTATACAGTGAGCAATTTTGATCACTCCTTTTTGCACGACGCATCACATTGCTGAATGGAAACAATGTTCGTTAGAAAAACAAACGTCGCGATTGCCGCTGAGTGCTTCTATTAAATATAGACTGAAAGGACTTGTCCCAAAACTTTTGTGGCATTTTGAAAGTATAATCTTAGCTTGCGCATATACCGTGAAACCGTGAAACATATTTTGTGAAATATATTTTACGATATATATGCCGATGAGGCGCACATTCCATGATAATATGTACCGTAACAAATAGCTTATTTTAAAAGCACCACCACAATTTCCCTTTTAAGACTATGACATTAAGTTGTAGCAATCACTGACATCTAAGAGACTAACCTCTATTGGTGACAGCTTTTCCATTCAGATACAAAGAACTGAACATTTTGTTGTATAAACACGGCGTTTTAAATTGTAACCTAGCCTTTTTAGACTGCTGCGTCTAAATAATATAACGCAATTCTTTTTTTTTTTTTGTCACTTGAAAATAAATTTAACTGTGTGACAATAAAAAGCTACTTGTTTTGCGCAAAAGATGCGGAAAATATATTCAAACCTTAGCGGTTCGAGCCGGTTTGAACCGCTATTTGTGCTCTCCGGAGTTAAACTGCAACTGAACGGAAAACCGTAGGCCGGACCCGAACCGAACCGATAAATATTTCGGTTCTCCACTTTGGTCAGTTCAGGCTAAGCCCGGGAGTTTGGCCAAGTTGGGGGCTATTCCATGGAAGGGGTAGATGTTTGGGGCATTCTTTGCTGCCACTCAGGCATTGGAGCTCAATTCGTCATGGTCGGTCTTCTGGACTGAATTCTCTCGAAATCAGGTCGTGGGAACTGTACACGCATAGAAAACGCCTTATTTTAATTACTTTTTATTAGTCATTTTGTTGTTATTTCTAAACAGCACGACACAAAATAGGTCGCAAACAAAACTATAGCGTAACTTCGTTTGTGCGCGAACCATAGACACCGTACTAACTCATAAATCAGGAATTCAAGGTTTTCTAGCCTTGGAAAAATTTGGCGACTTCCCTGGACAAACTTTTTTTTGAAAGGATCATGAACCCTTTTAGCCTTTCTTGTGTGAGACCCCATGTACGGCGGTGCAACGTTACTTGAGATTCCCCATGTACGGCGGTGTCGACGCTGAGGTTGAATCGTGCTCGCCCTCTCGAAGCATCCTTAGAATTTTTAAAGCGAGCTCACGCAGAGGCTTCACACCTAGAAGAGACACTTTGTTGTTCCTCAGAGCATCGAAAACACGCCGCCAACTTAAGGAATACGGGGGAAAAAAAAGGCGAGGATGCCGACCCGAATGACGCAATGGCGCAGTATGCGCCAATATCTTTCCCATTTACCCTCGTCGAAATTCGACGCCAATCGCGTGATGGCGCGTCGCTCACGTTTCCTTTGTTTGTTTGGAAAGTGGTCCGCCAGTGATCGTCTCGAACAACCCGCTCCCCGTTCGAGCTCAAGTTGGCGACGTTCTGCCCGAGCAGACCCCTGGCCTGGAGCCGGGTCGTGCGAGGTCTCCTCGGTGTCGCCTCTCGATCCCCCGGCGACAATGGGGCCACTCGGGCGATCAGAAAGCATTTTGGACCCCGCGACTCGCCATGCGGGATGCCGGAGCGAGACGGACCTCGGGCCCGCATCCCTCCCGGACCCGACGTTGCCCGCCTGCCTGGTCGCACCGACGCAAAAAGGGTGGGGGCGCGTTTCGGAAGACGGGCGCGTGGCTATTACCGACATTGTTTATTCCGGC